GTCCATTTTTTAATGGGGTTCTTTGTCTTCCTTTTGTTGAGTTGTATGAGTACTTTATGTGTTTTGGAAATTAACCCCTTATCAGATATATTGTTCTCTCATAATATGGGTTAACTTTTCATTTTGATACAGGTTTCTTTTGATGTACAGAAGCTTTTAAATTTACTAGAGTCCCATTTGGATATTTTTTTCCTTTGTTCCTCTTACCCTAGGCCTGTGGTCGGCAAACTGCGGCTCGCGAGCTACATGCTGCTTTTTGGCCCCCTGAGTATAGCTCTTCCACAAAGAGCAGGCATGCACAGTGCGATTGAAACTTCCATGGCCCATGCGCAGAAGTCAGTTTTTGTCCTGGGAGAGTCTATTTTGAAGAAGTACTGATGATATTTGGCTCTGTTGACTAATGAGTTTGCCAACCACTGCAGCCAGTGGTCGGCAAACTCATTAGTCAACAGAGCCAAATATCAACAGTACAAGGATTGAAATTTCTTTTGAGAGCCACATATTTTAAACTTAAACTATATAGGTACATTGTTATTAACTTAATTAGGGTACTCCTAAGGCTTAGGAAGAGCCACACTCAAGGGGCCAAAGAGCCACTTGTGGCTCGCAAGCCGAAGTTTGCCGACCACGGCCTAGGCCATGTATATGTGAAAATTCTGCTACATGTGATGTTTGAGATTTTGCCTGTATATTTTCTACTAGGATTTTTATGGTTTCACAATTTACATTTAGGTCTTTTGATCATTTTGAGTTTATTCGCATGTATGGAGTAAGTTGGTGGTCTAGCTTCATTTTTTGTATGTACTTGTCCAATTTTTCCAACATCATTTATTAATGAGATTCTCTTGAATCCATTGTATGTTCTTGTCTCCTTTGTCAAATATTAACTGAGCATAATGGCTTGGGTCCATTTCTGGGTTCTCTGCTCTATTCCATTTATCAACATGCCTGTTCTGTGCCAGTACAAAGCAGATTGGATTACAGTGTTTTGTAGTAGAACTTGATATGCAGTATTGTGATCCCACCAACATCTTCTTTCTGAAGATGGCTACAGCCATTAGCAATCTTTTTTTTTGGTTCCACATGAATATTTTTAGCATTTGTTCTATATCTATGAAATATGCAGTTAGTATTTTAATAGGGATTAAATAGAATCTACAGATTGCTTTGGGTAGTATGGACATGATGTTAATTCTACCAATCCATGCACACAGTATATTCCTCCTCTTATTTATATCTTCCTCTATCACTTTTTATTAGCGTGCTGTAGTTTTGTGAGCACAGGTCTTTTACCTCTTTGGTTAAGTTTATTCCTAAGTATCTTAATTTTTTTTTGATGCAATGGTAAATGGGATTGTTTGTTTATTTTCTCTTTCTGAGATTTCAATATTGTCATAAAAAAAATGCCATGGATTTCTGGTTGATAATTTTGTATCCTGCTACATTGCTAAATTCATTTATTAAATCTAGTAGTATTTTGGTGGAGTCTTTAGGATTTTCTATGTACAATATCATGTCATTTGTGAATAATGACAGTTTTACTAACTCCTTTGGAATTTGGATGCCTTTTTTGCTTTCTTCTTGTCTGATTGCTGTGGCTAAGGCTTCCAGTACTATCTATAATAATAAAAGAGTAATATGCTTATTAGACTGGAAAACCAAATGACCTTCATATGTCCTTCTGGATGACCTTTCAGATAAAGCTGGGGCTGTGAAGGGTGAGCCCCTTGCAGGAATTTCATGCATTGGGCCTCTAGTGTTGAATGAGAGTGGTGAAAGCTGACATCACTGTTTTGTTCTTGTTCTTAGGGGAAATGCTTTTAGTTTTTGCCCATTGAGTATGATATTGGCTGTAGGTTTGTCATATATGGCCTTTATCATGTAGTACAATGATTGAAATTTCTTTTGAGAGCCAGATTTTTTAAACTTAAACTATATAGGTAGGTACATTGTTATTAACTTAATTAGGGTACTCCTAAGGCTTAGGAAGAGCCACACTCAAGGGGCCAAAGAACCTCATGTGGCTTGCAAGCTGCAGCTTGCCAACCACTGGTTTATGTGATGTATTGCATTTATTGATTTGCAAATATTATACCAGCCTTGCATCTCTGGAATAATCCCACTTGGTCATGGTGTATGATCTTTTAAATATATTGCTGAATCTGATTTGCTAATATTTGGTTGAGGATTTTAATATCTATGTTCATTAGGGATATTGGCCTATAATTCTATTTCTTTTTAGTGTCTTTATCTGGTTTGGGAATGAGAGTAATACTGGCCTCATACAAAGCAGTTAGAAGTGTTTCTTCCTCTTGGATTTTTTGGAATTATTTGAGGAGGATGGGTATTTGCTCTTCTTTGAATGTTTGGTAAAACTCCCATGTGAAGCCATCTGGAGCAGATATTTTGTTAGTTGGGAGTTTTTAAAATTACTTCTTCAATTTCATCAGTTGTTATTGGCCTATTCAGGTTTTCTGATTCTTCCTGATTCAGTTTTGGAAGATTGTATTTTTATAGGAATTTTTCCATTTCATTCAGGTTGTTCAGCTTATTGGCATATAGTATTGCAGAAGACCAAAGAAAAACCAAGCAACTTTTAGGGAAAAGGAGGGACCCTGTTTATTAACACTAGAGGGCTCAGAGAATAACTTCCAAATCTGAGTAAAGAAACATGCAGGGGGCTTCTCTTTTTATATCCTTCTGGGGTCTTTGTCCTACAGCTATGGATTTTGGTTCCGGTCCCTTTAGTGGGTTTGGCAAGTAGGCCCCCAGCTGTTGGGGGTCTCCAGGCCATATCTGATGGTCTGGCCTGGCACCAGAGATAATAACCCTCCCTCCAGGGCAGTGCACTGTTCACAGTTTTATGGCCTCTGTATTTAGATAACAAGTTCTGCAAGACCAGTTTCTAGGACAGAAGTAGTGACTTAATTATAGGTTATCAAGAATGTACACTGAGCTTGCTGGCCTGGATTCAGATTGCTAGACCCCCCCAAATATCAGGAGCCTTTTAGCCTCCTCAATAGTTGTTCACATCTATATTTCTGTGGTGTAGGTTGTTACTTCACCTCTTTCATTTCTCACTTGTCTTATTTGGGTCCTCTCTCTTTGTTTTGACGAGTCTGTCAAAAGATTCATCAATCTTGTTTATTTTTTCAAGAGCCAGCTGTTGGTTTAATTGATGTTTTGTACTCCTTTTTTTTAGTTTTGTTTTTTGTTTGTTTGTTTTTTTTAGTTTCTATGACATTTATTTCTGCTCTGATCTTTATTAATCCCATCCATCTACTTACTCTGGGATTTTCTTGATGTTCTTTTTCTAATTATTTTAGTTGTAGTGTCAATATTTTGTTAGAACTTTTTCTTATTTTTTGAGGTAGGACTGGAATGCTATGAACTTTCCACTCAGGACTGCTTTTTCAATGTCCCATAGATTTGGGGTTGCTGTTTGTTCATTTTTGTTATAGTTTCCAGGAAGTTTTTTCTTTCTTTTTTGATTTATTTATTTGGTCATGTATTCATTGCTTAGACTCCATGGGTTTGAATGTTTTTGAATGTTTTTATTGTAATTGATTCTAGTTTCATGCCATTGTGATCCGAGAAGATTATAACTTTAGGATGAAATATTTTATAAATGTAAATTAAATTAATCTGATTTAGTGTTTCCTTTAGGCTCACTTTTACCTTGTTGATTGTCTGAAAGATCTATCCAAAGATGTCAGTGGGGTGTTAAAATCCCCTACTGTGACTGTATTGCTGTCAATCTCTCTTAACATCCTCTAGAAGATTTAAAAAATATATTTAGATGCTCCTTCTTTGGGTGCATATTTATTTACCAGGATTATATCCTCTTGTATTGATTCCATTAGTGTTATGTGGTGGCCTTCTTTGTCTCTTGTATCCTTTTCTTTGAAATCTATTTGGTCAGATATAAATGTTGCTACCCTTGCCTTTTCTGTTTCTATTTGCATGGAAAAAATTTTCCTATCCCTTCACTTTCTGTCTGTGTGAATCATTTGTTCTGAGGTGGGTATCTTGTAGACAGCCATATATATGGCTCATGTTTTCTTATCCATGCAGATGTCTGTGTCTTCTGTTGGAGTATGTATTCTATTTACATTTAAGGTCATTATTGATAAGTACTTATTTCCTGCCATTTTTCTTTATGCCTATGTTCTTTTCTCTCAATTTTTTGTTCTTCTTAAATCATTCCCTTTAACATTTTCCCCATTGCCACTTGTTTTTAAGTTGCAAAGAGATAAGGTATTTAAAATATAATAGAATGTTTTTACGTCTCTAAGCCAGTGATGGTGAACCTATGTCAGAGGTGACACGTGAACTCATTTTGGGTGACACGCATCGACAGAGACAAAAAATTGCATAATTCAAATATTTGTCTCTCACAATGGACAGACTTGGGCATCACTCGAGTAATATTATTACTCACGTTACACATGATCAATAATGCAATTCTAAAACCGGATGTAAACATGTACATCGGTGTTGCGTAGCAAAGATACATAGTGAAAACATCCAAGATACATTGTTCCAATATTGACATTTATATAAAAAGGTTAAGAATTGCACTATAAAGAGATTAATCTTTACTCATGACATTTTATTTTTACTCGAGTAACAAAATGCCCAATTCTGGAAACAGTCTCCTTATTGTCAACATGTGCCTCGGGTAAGCTTCCCGTGTGTTCGGGTGCATTCGGCAAACAGAAGCACTTGATCGCCATGTTCGTTAGGAAGGGCACCCAGAACCAGAGCTGAGGAAGCACTTGAAATATGTTTGTGTAGAGAAGAAGCAATAAGTGAAAATGAAACTGACAATGGGGGGTGGGGGGGGGTGAGGAGAAGTGCTGGGAAACAGGGAAGGTGAAATCAAGTAGCAAGTTTATGGAAAATAAAAAAACTATTGGCTGCATGTGGTTTTGGTTTGCAGTTACTATCCATTTCCCTAAAATGAGTTCTGTTTCTTATCTACAGAAACCGAAACTACGATGGCTCAATTGGACATTACTCCTTCCAACTTCAGTGAACCCAGGACCGGCCATGGTGAGAGGGTGCTTGGGTTTCCCAGACCAGATGGGACGGAGGGAACCTGGCAGTGGGTTCTCCTGTCCTCTCTGCCAGTCTTCATCTGAGCAAGAGCAAAATATTTCCAACCTCATTTCTTATTTTCTCTTAATTAACTCAGCTTTTTCTCAGGAATTTCGGCACCTGTCTCTTCATGACACAGCATAACCACTAAGAGGAAGAGAGATTAAAGTATCCTAATTGACCCCAGGCTAGTGAGGTTTCTTATTTCCTACTTCAACAATGTGGACACACCAGAAGGGCCAGTTGTAGCCTCTCTTGTTTCTCTGCCAGTCTCTTCCGCCTGAGAGAAGACTGGGAAGGAGGAATGTGAGAGGAACTGATTCATTCAGGTCCTAATTTCCCTGCTCCTGGAGGCATGTTTTGGAGGTAGAATCCATTTGGAGTTAGAAACCAACAAATTCAACAGACTGGCTCACTCACTTTCTCATGCAACCCTCCTTTTACTTCCTTATCTTTAGAAATCAACTATATCAGTTGAACTTTTGCTGGTTTGGTACCACACCACAATACAACTTAGTACCCTAAAACCTGAACCATTACTTTGGCAATCAATTTGGTAGATAGATGGGAATTTTTTGGTTCTGGGCCAACTGGGCTCATCTCATCCAGACTTGCTCATGCACTGGTGCTAAGCTGGTGGTTCAGTACACAGCTAGATAATCTTTTCTTCAGATTAAATTAATTGGGGTGACATTAATTAATAACATTATGTAACTTTCAAGTGTACAATTCTATAATATATCATCTGTGTATTGCATTGTCTCCTTCTGTCACCATATATTTCACCCCCTTTACCTGCTTCAACCTCTTCCCATCCCTCACTCCCTCTGGTAACTGTCATATTGCTGCCTGCGACTGTGAGCTTGTTTGTCTATTTGTATTGTTTGTTCCCTTGTTGCTTTCTATTTTATATCCCATATGTGAGTGAAATCATATAGTTCTCATCCTTTGTTCATCTGACTTATTTGGCTTAGCATACCGGTAATACTCTCAAGATCCAGCAACTGGATACTTTCGAATGGATAGTCCCATGGCCATGTCTGGTGGTTACCAGGCTCTTTGGCAGGCCAGGGTGATAGGGGTGATTGGGCCTTATGTCTTTCATCATCAATCAGTTGCAGGGTTCTGAAGAGCAAGAGACATCAAGCCCCAGGGCATCAGCACTTTTGGAGTGTACTAGCATCATGCTTCTACTGCCCTATTGCCCAGACCAAGTCACAGGGCCCACCCAGATGCAAGGGGTGGAGAAACAGACTCAGCACCTTGTGGGAGGAGCTGCAGATCCACATGCTAAAGAGGCTTGTGTACAGACCTGGGATTAATTCATGGCCATGTCTGCAGTCTATCACACAGACTGCCATATGCTTTCAGCATTGGCAAATAGTTGCAGTGTTGGAGCTGGCCTTTGGTGACTTCTCATTTCACCTCCCATGATTTTCCTACTTCTCTCTGGATGACCAACTAATGCCCTCAGGATATCCTTAGGTTGGAGTCTTCCACTGTGGTGCTAACTAAGTAATAATCTGAACTGCCACTCACATTTTCTCTTTATCATAGCCATCTTGTAGCCACTGCTCTCAGCTTCTGGAAATTTACTTCTCTCATCTCAGAATTCTGGTTATCAAATGTGGGATACTTTGCCTTAGGAATGGTTTTTCTAATCCTTGGAATAGCAACAGCTTCACCATAAAGTGTGTGTGAGAGGGAGAATAACTACTGATTTTTTGGAAGATAGAGTGGGGGGGGGTTCTGCAAAATCTTTCCTGTTTGATTGAAATTTTTGAAAAATCATTCCAATGTACAAAATAGAAAAAGAGGGCACAATAGAATTAAAGAGACCACTTAGGTGACTAGCTGAGTCATTGATGGTGATGGTAGCTTGGGCTAGTATGATGGTCTTCAAAATGGAGAGAAGGGGTCAGATTTGGGAACTTGCCGATGGGTCAGATCTGGAAGGTAAGGGAAAGAGAGGAATCCAGGGAGATTCCCAGTTTTGTCTGAGGAACTGGATGAATGGTGATGATATCTCTGAAAAATAAAATGGAGTTTACAATCATGTCAGCAATACTGTCAGTTTGGTGATGTATGCATTGACTCAAAGCAGAGACAGGTCATTGTAATACAGGTTTCCTCGCGCAAGAGTTCAGTTTTATTAAAGGGCTGTGCTGACAGAGTCTTCCTTCAGGTAGAAACAGGCTTTCAGATGTGCTTGTCAGTTGACTTTTATGGTCCCTGTCTGTGCTGAACAAATTCTGAAGACTTCAAGTTTATAAACACATGGAAGAGATAAGCAGAGAATTACTGACTAGAAAGAGGAAAAAGACCTATATAGATGATTTGATGTTTAACTTGAGACACAGTGGTATTTAAAATATCATTCAGGTGGTAGGCTATGCTGTTCTTTTATTAACTTCCAGGTGTCCTAGAAAGTAGACATGTCTAACCAACTGAAACTAAAAAAGTATAACTCAACTGATGCTACTCTGTATGAGTTGTTATTACTATTATTTATGTATCAAGGGATTTTAGAGTAACTCCAGAAAACTCTCAATACTTTCTGGATAGAAGTCTTCTATATACTAATTTAAGATAGAAAAACTTCATTAGATTTCTACATTTAGGCATAAATTAAAAGTATGGCATTTTGTTCTCCTATGGTTAAGAATCCCTGAGAAGATAGATGCATATGTGAAATATGAAGGAACACTTTGCCTTTCTGCACATGTGCCCTTTACTCCCTTTCAGGGTGGGATGGCTTGAATCAACCACCTATGTGACTTCTTAATGGAAAGAATAAAAGTTCCATTTTGGATATCATTTGGGGGAAGGGGATATTCCACTGTGATGTCCCAGAGTCAGATTTTGTGTTATTTCCTACATTAGCTTATGAAGAACAGCTACCAGCCGTGGCTCAGAGTTCTTACTTGTACCATTTTGCACCTTCTTCCATAGGCACTTAGCTTCCACAGGTCAAAGAGAGCAGCCCAAGGAACCCCTGAGAAGTTCCCAGCATTCCCCAGCTCCTTTAGGAGGGAGGTGAGGCACAGGTGTTCCACAGACCTCCTGCGAGTACAGAGGTGGCTCACTGACAGGACACTAGTGGGCAATAGAGAAAAACCAGTGGGCAGGGCCTTTGCAACGGGAAAGTTTGGAGGTCCATCCTAATGCTGTGCTTTTGTTTCCTGATATCCCAGGGCTTAGAAACCAAGACCCCAGAGATTCACAACTGCGACTTGTCTTAGTGGGTAAGACTGGAGCAGGAAAAAGTGCCACAGGGAACAGCATCCTTGGAAAGGAAGCATTTCATTCCAGAATGGCAGCAAAATGCATCACCAAGGTCTGTCAGAAAGGGAGTAGCATGTGGAATGGGAGAGAAATTGTCGTCGTGGACACGCCTGGCATTTTCGACACTGAGGTACCGGATGCTGACACACAAAAGGAGATTGCCAATTGTGTCCTCCTGACCTCCCCCAGGTCTCACGCTGTGCTCCTGGTGGTCCTGCTGGGCCCGTGCACAAAGGAAGAACAAAAGGCAGTGGAGAAGATATTGTCAATGTTTGGATCCCAAGCTAAGAGATACATGATTCTCTTATTCACCCGGAAAGATGACCTGGATGGCATGGAGTTCCATGATTACTTAAAGGAAGCTCCAAAAGGCATTCAAGATCTGATGGAGCATTTCAGGGGTCGTCACTGTGAGTTCAACAATAAGGCGACAGGGGCTGAGCAGGAGGCTCAGAGGGCCCAGCTGTTAGACCTGGTCCAGCGCATGGTGATGCAGAACAAGGGAGGATGCTACACTGATGAGATGTACCAAAAGGTTGAGGAGGAGATTCAGAAACAGGTTAAAGTGAAACAAGAAAAATACAAAGCTGACCTGAAGAGAGAGAAAAGGCAAATAAGAGAGAAATATCAAAAACAAATCAGAAACCTGAAGGATAAAGTGGAGCAAGAAAAGAGAAAGAGAGAACTGGACAGGGAATGGGCAGAAAGGGAGATTTGCCATCTAAAAAGGCTGCAGGGAGCCAGAAATGAAGTTGAGAGTCAGAAAGATACTACTATACTTGACATAATCAAGCGTATAGCGATCTCTTTACCTTTTTTCATTATTCTATTCATGTTTATTTAAGCTTTTTAAAAATCTGTTTCCTGCATATTTTCAAGTGTTCCTTCCCATATAACTCATTCCCCAAAGTCAGAGTTCTCTGTTTCTGTTCTTTAAGTTCTCAGGACTAGGTGTTTAGTAAAGTTTCTTATTGGCAATTGGTAGATATCTGTTTGATTTATTTAACAGGGATGAGACACATTCTCAATTTTTAAAACTCCAAAATAGAAAGTATAGATGCTCCCTATTCTAAACTCTTTCTTACAGACAGAGAGAGGGAATGCAGGAGACCAAAAGACAATGATTCTCTAGCGTCTTTCTAGATTGGAACATAATCTCTGCCTGTGGCTTCTACTCCACATTTTTGCCTTTGGGATGACAATGACCTTTTTACCCATATGGTTAAAGAAATCAATTATTTGTATTAGGTAATGGATAGCTAGAGATGCTTATAGAATTCTTTCTAAATGAACATAAATTTGTTGAATTACATTCTTTCAAAGGACTGAAATAGTTCCTTATCATCTGTCCACTCAAGAAAAAAGAGTTGCCTGAAAAGCAGATTTCTCAGAACTCAACTAAGTGAAATGCCAGAAAGAGTAAAAGACAGAGATTCAACAGCTAAGAGAACAATGTTCAGTGTATTCAGATGTTTCTGTAGAAAGTCTTTGAGCAACCTCAAGGTAACCACTTTTTGAATAACTAGTTCTCTCCTTTTCTTGTGAAATTAACTGTTGCCACTGCACCTCCATCACCCCACACCTTGATTACTTACTGCTAGGTGGGTCATCCCCACACTGCTTCCCCTTCCCACTTCAATTGTTTGCTTATTGTAACTATAATAAAACTTTTCTATTTTCTAATATTTGTGCAAAAATGCAATTTCTTTTATTTTGGGAAATACCACTAATATTTCTTATAAGAATACAGAGATGAATTTCACTTTTTGGTAAAACTACAAGACGATTTTGGAGCTTGTCTTGGTCTACCACTAAGATCTCTCTCATTTCTCCCAAAAGCTTTGTTAATGTAAAAACATTGAAACCTGTAAAGAATTTTTGTGAGTTTATTTGAGCCAAACTGTCAACAGTTGCTGGGAAGCAGTATCTCAATGGATTGGGATAATGCTCCAGAGAACGGCAGGCTTTCATCTATTTTTATACATTTCAATCAAAGGAGGGGACATAGGTGGGTTACATGAAATCCACTGGTGACAGATTAGAGAGGAGGGAGAAAGCAAAGCAGGGGAGGGCGGGGAGGAACCCCTGGGATTGGATAAAAAATAAAATGATAGACACATACTTAGGTGGATGAAGGATAGTCAACAATTAACATGATAACAATAACAATAGAAGGACCTTAAGGGGTCTGAAAAAAAGGAAGTTACCAGTTACCCAGACATTTAAAGGGAATGTTATCATAGACACAAAAAGACAGATGGGCTCAGTGAAGGTAAAGGTTGACCTTGTCAGTCAAGATACAGGCCTAGGAGGTAACTACCCACCATAAGTGCTTTTAGTTAAAGTTTAATTTCAGACCATTTTTTTGTGATTACTTTAGGTCTCTGAGTTTGCAGGCCTTCCCTGAGTTTGTCAGGTTTTTCATCCACACATCACCCTTCTGGTCATAAATCAATCCAACATTTTGGTTGGATAATGGAGTCCCAGGGTGCTAGGAAGGCTTATTCCCAGGATGTGTCAGTGTCAGCATGTCTTGCTGAACAGGGTGGACCACTAGGAATGGGGCGAGATCATAACCTTAGATGGCACTTAAGGTCGAATTATTTTTTTTTTTTTAAAAAAGCAGGTGAATGGGAGGCAGTCAGATCCTGTATGTCCTTGTTAAAAAGTATTCTGAATTATTTCTAATTTCTTTGAGTCACCATGATGCAAGCCTTTTTGCTGTTTGTCAAGTTTTGTTTTTCTGCATCTAGTATAACAATATACCAGGAACAAGAGTAACAATAATAAACCAGTAACACTGATTAGGAACAGAAAATGTCTAATATTAGAGAAGGAAGAATCTGAAGGGGCTATTATTATCCAGAAGTTCCAATTTTTCTTTTGGCCAGTTAATTTAGCTTATTCCTATATTTAGACAATATTCATTAAAAATATTCATCTAGATTAGATCCATATATAATTCTACCAGGGGAATTATTAGGGAGGTGTTCTTGGAGAGGTTAGTTCAAGATAGGTCCTTTATAATAGATATACCAAAGCTTATATTGATAGTGGAAAACCACCAGTGCGTGGCCAACAAAATATTAACTTCATTATCATAGCTGATAATCAGAATATCACTATCTAGTAGGTGGGAAAGATTAGCAGGTACCCAAGTTAAATTTTTTTATGTCCAATAGGGAAAGGGATCTAGGGAGACAGATATTGTTTCCACTAGGAAATCATAAGGAGGATAATAGCAATATAAAAATAATATTATATACATTTAATCAATAACAATTAGGTGATATAAGAAAAAGGTTTGAGCAGCATCAGTTTGTGAGCATACGGGCCTTGTTGATGTCTTGGGATGGCTGTCTACCTCCTCCATAATTAGCAACTTCTCATTTTTGAGATGAAGGCGAGTGTCAGAGACAGGGACAAATGTCCATTCCTGGTTAAGTACCTGATAAGATAAGGTCCCTTTAACACTGTTGGAGAGAGTCTTTCATTAATGTATTTCCCAACGGACAAAAATCTCCAGGTTGCTATAGTCTTTGAATCTTTTTCTCCTGGGAGTACTGTGAAATGAATGTTATTAATTTGTTAGTTCCTACAATGCAGAATGTCTGCTTTTTAGTTTTCCTTAGATTTGGGAAACAAAATATTAAAAAATTAACAATATTTTAAACAGAGTCATGAGAATAATTATTTTTAATTCATTTAATCCCATAGTTATTTTTGTTTATTCTAATTATTTGCCAGTAGCTTTTTCGAATTCAGTTATTTCTTGAAGTTCTATAAATTGTCATCCAGTTCAAAGATATGACCTGCTTAGAAGTCTACAAGTTAGAGTAGGTCAGAGTTCTTTTAAGTCCTTCTAAAGACATAATATACCTGCAAATGCATCAGAGTAAAGCAACACCTGTCTATGAATGACAAAATTTAAAAGTGGCATGGTTATAGATTTGATTATAATGCAAAAAACTTTTGATAAAAAATACTTTGCTTTTCTGTAAGATATAACATTCCAAGACAACAATTTCTGTGTTTTTATTTATTTATTTATTTATTTATTTATTTATTTATTTATTTATTTTTACCTGTAAAGAATTTTTGTGAGTTTATTTGAGCCAAACTGTCGACATATGCCAGAAGCAGAACCTCAACGAATTGAGATAATGCTCCCCAAGACAACAATTTCTTGGTAAACAATAATTACTGTAAAATGGCATAGAGAACAACATAAAATTTGTATATATTTAGGTTCAATATATAATTTCAGCATATAAAGAATAATATCAGATTTTAAAACGTGGCACATGGCTTATTTCAAATAGTGTATTAAAAACTGAAAATAATTTATAAACCCCTAATATGTGAAACACAAATATCCAGAGTATTGCTGGCAGATGCAGAAAATTATCACTTCTGACTTGTCTGGTGTCTCTGCCTGAACACACACTATACCTGAAAGTTTCCTGTTTGAACTTGGCTCTGAATCTTTGCAAGTTCCTTTCTGAAGCAGACTAAGATTTCTATAATAATTTTAATAAAACATCTACACTAATAAAAGACAAACATGCAAATTGACCATAATTTCACTATGCCTTAAGCCACGCCCACCAGCCAATCAGCGACTATATGCAAATTAACCCAACCAAGAGGGCAGCCGGCAGCCATGGAGCTGGAGTGAGCAGGAGGCTTGCTTGCTCCAGTGATGGAGGAAGCCAAAGTTACCGGCCCGCTGCTGCCTCTTCTCAAGGCAACAAAGTTTCAATTATAGAAGATAAATAAACCCCAGATACCGCTTCCAGTCGCCATGGCCACGGAGCTGGAGCAAATTAAAAAAAAAAAAAGGAAAGGCTGGGAGCTTTGGTCGCTGGGGGCTTGGTAAGTCTGAAAACAGCCATCAGCCCCTCACCCAGGCTGGCCAGGCACCCCAGTGGGGACCCCCACCCTGAAGGGGCTGTGGGCAGCCTGAAAACAGCCCTCAGTCACTCACCCAGGCTGGCCAGGCACCCCAGTGAGGACCCCCACCCTGAAGGGGCTGTGGGCAGCCTGAAAACAGCCCTCAGTCCCTCACTCAGGCTGGCCAGGCACCCAAGCAGGACCCCCACCCTGATCCAGGACACCCTTCAGGGCAAATCAGCCGGCCCCCATCCACGCACCAGGCCTTTATTCTATATAATAAAAGGGTAATATGCAAACTGACCCTAACAGCAGAACGACTGGGAATGACTTATCACTATGACACACACTGACCACCAGGGGGCAGATGCTCAATGCAGGAGCTTCCCCCTGGTGGTCAGTGCGCTCCCACAGGTGGAGCTCTGCTCAGCCACAAGCCAGGCTGATGGCTGCCAGCACAGCGGTGGTGGTAGGAGCCTCCCCTGCCTCCTCAGCAGCACTAAGGATGTCTGACTGTAGCTTAGGCCTGCTCCCTGCTGGCAAGTGGACATCCCTCGAGAGCTGCCGGGCTGCCAGAGGGATGTCTGACTGCCAGCTTGGGCCCGATCCCCCAGGGAGCAGGCCTAAGCCAGCAGGTGGACATCCTCCGAGGGGTCCCAGACTGTAAGAGGTCATAGGCCAGGCTGAGAGACCCCCCTGAGTGCACAAATTTTTGTGCACCGGGCCTCTAGTATGTGTATAAATAGAACTCTATTAATTTTTATTTGACAAAGCTTCCCACATGATTTTAAGTATATTAAATTGGCCTAATTTAGTTCAAACATATTTCTCCTGAGAATAAATCCTTGAGTTATTCCAGGGCCCATTAGAATGATTCAAAGTCATCTCTCAGTTAAAGTCTTAACATTTTAACTTTGGAAAGATTGTCAAATATACTTAACCAAAAGATTA